GTGATTTATATACCAGAATTTCAAAACCCCATGATTTTACTCTTGTGAAAGTTAACGCTTGGACTAAAGACCAATTTGAAACCTTGCAGCATTGATTTAATGGATCAGAGGTTTTCCAAATTTGCGTTTTCCAGAATGATTGTGTCATGCGCGAATTGTAACAAGTCAAACTCCTGGTTTTTAGCTTCTTTGAAAGGATGGAAGCTAGATTTAGAGGATGCATTTCTCATAAGCCCTGTCAAACCTTCAGCAACAATAATGAAGAGAAACGAAGAAAGCAGATTACTTTGGAAAAGACCTTCTGATTCTTGAAAATCCAACGTGGGACTACCATTTATCATAAGAGAAAAGAAACTAGAACACACGCAAGTGTGAATCCAATTGATACATCTTAGGATGTAAAGTAGAAAATCCCAAGACACAAAGTCAAAGGTTTTTTCAAAATCAACTTTGAACACAAACACGTAATTTTTATTTCTTTGCGTGAAATCATAACCACTCCATCTAGCATATGTCCGTTTGGAATGAAAACATATTATAATTTTAAGATAAATTTGTCGATCATTGTTTTCAGTTTCCCAGCTAGCAATTTTGAAATGATTCTATAAACACATTTAATTAAATATATTAGACGATAATCATTGAGACTTTGAGGATTTTGATTTTTCGGGATTAAAGCAATGAGAGACAGGTATGGCATTTGGAAGGTGAGAATTAGTAAAGAATTTGTTTACACAATCTTATAAATCCTATTTTTGATTTAAGAAAAAAACTCTTATTTTAATATAACATAAATAGCGTGATATGTTAATTAGCTTTAATTCTTGTTATTTGCTACATGTCTAGTTAGAATCTTATAGGTGATAAGTGGCGGCTGATATGCGGTATTAGTTTTTCTTTATCATATTCATTAATAGAAGTTAAATTTGCAAACTTATTCATAATATTTTACTTTTCATATAAATTACATTTCATAGTTTATATAATGACAAAAGCGAATTATAACTTAGGAAAGAGGGAATAATTATCTACCATTAAATAAAGTTATCTTTTGAATAAAAGTGGAGAGCATTCATTACGAGGTTGGTGGGTTGACATGCGTATTATTACAATCCGAGGTAACAAGTGGAGCTAATAGAACAAACATAGTCTTTCCATTAAGCTTCCTTATTTTATTATACAGGTTTCTTAGATTTATATTTTTCCAATCAACAATCTTACCTGAGACCCATAATCTATGAATTATATTTTTCAGTTCAACTTAACCAAATAATTCAATTCGTGAGCTAGAGCAAATTGCAACAATACCTATACTCGTGGTGCAATCAATAAAACATTATCAACCACACTTATTTTATTCATAGTTAAAGAAGTTGAAAATGTTACAAACTTGCATCATAATCTTACAGGAATTATAAATTAAGCAAATAATTAAAATATATAGCTTCTGCAATGGATTGACAAATTCAATCTAGTGATCATTCATTCACTTGCCATTTTGATGCTTAGACTTTTTCTCTTTTCTTATCTTCAACAGTAAACTTGCAAACCTGCAAACATATAAATATCAATATTTGTTAGTATTTTTTCCATCTTAGTTAGGACTATTAGAAAATAAATAAGTTATTATTATAAAATAAAATGAATTAGTACCTTCTGAGTTCTTCCTGAATGGTACCTTTATCAGGAACTGTTTCATATATACCTGAATCCAGATTCACTCTAGAAAATTTTTTCTTCAATAAGTTCTCACCAGCTTTCACCAGATTATTCAGATTATCTTTAGTAGATATATCCACAGAAGCTAACTCTCCCTCTAATGTATCATCCTGTTTCATGCCACCATGTTAAGTTTGTAACAATTTAATTATATATATATATATATATATATATATATATATATATATATATATATATATATATATATATATATATATATATATATATATATATAGTAATGAGAAAAACATATTTACTAACTTGAATTCTGAGATAGTTGTCTTGAGATTGAAGGGCCGTAAAAAGCACGCAATTATGATAATCAACCATATCAGTGCTTGCTTCGTTGAAACAATCAAGAACGGGAGTTGCACCAGAGTTGAATAACCATGTCAAAGCACCCCATTTAGCTACCATCTTAGCATTGTACTTTCTCTCACTCTTGTTTGATCCTGTCCCTATTGATATCACAAGAAAACGATCGTATCCTATACCAACATTATTCACATTTCTCCCTTTTGGCTGCCTTATCAAACCCTTTGTCACTTCTCTTATTGCAACCATAGTCTGTAAAATTCATTATCAAAAATCAAATCAATAATATCTTCATTTGTTTAATTAATTTTAGATTCAGCCGAATTATTACATCCTTATAAGTTATAAATTATTCTTAAAAACTTAATAAGACATGACTTTTTTTCAATATGATTTCTTCTCGAGCTGCAATATTACCGGATTGTTAGCACAAACGCCGCCGTCAATGAGGTTATATTCTTTAATCACTCTTCCTTGTTCATCTTTCTTCTCAAAATAGTGAGCAGGCAAATAAGTTGGAGCAGCTGATGTAGCTATGCAAATATCAGACAGTTTTACATCTAAAGCTGGCTCAGCATCAATCTGCATAAATTAATATTGGTAATTTAAACACATGCATGTGCTTGCGTTAAATTTTTATTTGTATTAAAAAACAAGAATCAACGCCAATACCTGATAGGAAGAAAAAATTGTAGGCTGAAGTTTTTCAACATCGAAAGATGGAATAACAATGTTTGTGACAGTTTGGCTCAAAAGTGTATTTCCTGTTATCTCTTTAATTGTCTTCTGGAGATACTCTCCGTTGTACTTAGGTCCTGTTAAAGTTTTCGCTATGTTCACCAGCGGTGCAAATATTCCACTGCAAATTGAATAGTAATTCAACAGTAATTAATTTGTTCTGAAGTTCTAAAGTTCTAATATCACACTTAATTATAAGTATACCTATTCTGTGGAAATATAAGTGGCAAGTTTTTAAGGCAAAATGGAACGATTTCTCTGGCAGCAAATAAAGGACGGTTGTTTGGATTAGGAGCAGTTAACATGGCTGTAATGAGACCACCAGTACTTGTTCCAGCAATTACATCAAAATAATCTGCAAGTCTTGCATTAGCACCATCTATCTCCTGAAGTTGAGATTCAAGATAGGCAAGAATAACACCAGGAATGATTCCTCTGACTCCTCCGCCATCAATGCTAAGAACGGTAATCAAATTCACAGGCTTAACTTCTTCCATTGCTGTGTAGTATGGAGAATTGATGCTTTAGGCTAAGTGTGTGTGAGAGGAGAACTTATGTTTTTAGTTTATGTGTAGGCTTGTATATATAGATAAAGAAATTAGATACGATAATTATTAGGACTTGATTTAGTATCTTGGATAAAATATATACTAGATAGAATAAATATTTGAATAAGATACGATAATTATTATGTGACGTGGCTTAATTGTTCCTCTCCACAAAAAATTTCTCATATATCCTTGTAATTTATTGTGACAAATTAAAAACCCCTAGGGTTTAGGGCGATTAAAGTAAACAAATGAGGTACTCGAAAGGAGCACGACTGAGATGTTTATTCACGTTCGACATTTATCACTATAGTGAGATAAAATTGGTTACTTTCCTCTGTCTTCGGTCTTCATGAAATTTATAGTGAAATTTACAAGGATGAGTTTTAATGTGAATTTTTATTATGGAGATAGATTTATTAGGGAGTGTGTTTTCTATAACAAAAAGGGGACATGAACATGTAGTAGATGATATAATTCCTGATAATTGAGACTTCTTTGAAATTACTGGTATATTGAAAGAGATTAGTGATCTTGATCATTCAAAATATAGTTTATTGTGGTATAAAAGGATTACGAGAAATACAAGAGAATTGTCAATGATAATGACACTGATGAGGTTCATAAATATGCTATTCAAATAAAATGTGTAGTTCACTTATATATTAAACATTTTATTAAAGACATAGTTTCCCCTGACCCCTAACCTTGAGGAAGATGAACATGGTCATGAAAATAATGTCGAAGAAAATGAACATAGTGATGGGAATGATGAAGAAAATGACAAGGTAATGGAAATATTGTTGAAGAAGATGATCAAGGTGATGGAAATAATGTTGAAAAAGATGAACAAAGTCATGGAAATGTTGTTGAAGAAGATGAACAAGGTCATGGAAATAATGTGGAAGAAGATGAACAAAGTGATGGAAGTGATGTTGAATTAGATTGTGATGATAGTGAGGATTAAGTTGTTGGTAGAACATTTGATGATAGTGAGGATGAAGTTGTTGGTATATAACATTTGATGATGACGAGGATAAAAGGCATTTTGGGTTGAATGATGACTTTAATATAATTGGTAAAAAAGGTGACGTCAACGACAAAAAAGGTATGGTAAAATTTATCGCAAAGAGGCATAAGAACTCTCTAGAGAAATTGTGAATGGATTTGATATCATGAGATGGTGATTAACTATGCTAGTGAAGAGCTTGGTAGCAGTGACTCTGATGCTTCAGATCATGAGAAGGAACTAAAGTATGATAAGTTTAGGATGAAAGAGCTGGAAAAATTACAAGTTCAAAGTAGGTGGAGTTAGCATCACTTGGTGAATTTAAAGAAGCAATAATTGAGTGGTCTGTCTTGATTGGGAGAGAGATAATATTAGTGAAAAATAACAAAGTTAAAGTAAGGGTAATTTGTAAGAGCAAGTGTGGATTTTTAGCACTTGTAAGTAAAGTTGAGAATAAGCACACGTATATAATAAAGAGATGGTTTAGTGCTCACACCAATTGCTTTTAGTAATTCAACACAAGCACCGACTACTTATGATAATTCAACACAAGTACTAATTGCATATGGTTCTTCAACCCAAGCGCCAACTACATTTGATATTGATCATAAGTTTGAAATGTTTGTTACAGAATTTGTTGTAGTATTTGAGACAACATACCACAATCAAATATGAATGATGTTACATCTAAACCTATTCCTACTGCTCCACTTGCACCTGTTCCTACTGCTTCTACTGCACATGATTATGATATAAGTCTTTCTGCACCTGATTACATTTTGTCTACACCTGTTGAACATGAGGTACTTGAAGTTTCTATTTTTAGAAATCTTGCAATTCTGATACCATTAGAAATTTCTATTTCTACCATACTTTACATTCTATAAGTAACATTTTTAAGTATGTAAAGAACATAATTCAAGATACAATCAACAAGTTCTTAAATAAGGATTTAATCCTTTTTTTCTTAGACTCAAAGTCTTTAATAATGCTAGTTAAGTCTTTCACAATCTCTGAGAAATTGCAAAGGTATGGTATTCTAGGTTCACTTGATATGGTAGAAATATATGGAGGATGATTATCAACTTTATCATCCCATATGAACACTTTACAACTTCTCATTGCCTACAAATTTAGAGAGAAAATCAAGATTATCAACTAATATGAACAATAAATATTGACATAATTAGATTAACCATGATCGGATGAAACGAGTTGCAGTCAAACTTACCACCACCCTTTACCCCCTCACCCCAATTTGTACATTTCCAATTTCTCATTTTAAAATTTTCATTGAAATTAGACATGAACATCTCATTAATTTATTGATACCACATTCTGAAATTTGCATAAAATATCCTATATGAAATTAAAATATGATAAAATGTATATTAGATAGAATAAATATTTGAATAAAAATAAGATACGATAATTATTAATAGGTGAATTGAGCAATTTTCTTTAAAATATGCTATATGAAATTAATAACCATTTCTTGTTTTTGGTTATTCAGTTTTAAACGAGACACTTCATTATTATTTTTATAAGAAAATTAATATAAAATCTATAATATTTATTATAAATAAAATATAATAATAAGTTAATTTAAATATAATATATTTTAAGTATTATATTATTATTTTTTAAATATTATAATATAGTTTTAAATACAATGAAAATTTGAGAAAGATTAAATAATAATACACATATACATCATAAGTCAAAAAAAAAATAATAACAATTAATGAAAATGATAGAAGAATAAAAAATAAAATAAAAAGATTCAAAAACATCTATTACAATTAGATGTGAGATAAAAGAAATTATTGAACTTTGGCGGGTTATAGGTGAATGAAGAAAGAAAATATTGTAAATTATGATAATGTTTAATATTAATTTCTGAAGCAAAAAATAATAGCAACAGAAATAAATGGCTTATAGCAATATTAATCAGTACATAAATTGTTTACTCAGTTTGATCAAACGATCTATTAAAATTATTACAAGAGATTACAAATGAGTTACAAGAAATGACATTCACCTTCAGATTCCTAAGAACAATCATATCTTTTACCCAAATGTTTCTAAACCTCTCTGACACTCAATATGTGAATAACTCAAAACCAATGTATAATCAGTGTTTCACAATGACCTTAAACAACTCCAAATTTAAGGTCACTAAACTTTTGCTCTTCTAAGATTTTTCTTCACTAGGCCTTGAATCCATGCTCTACCTTATTTTTGTAAACTCTATGATTGTCTCCTTTAAACACAACAAAGAGATACATATTTATAATAGCGAATACCCAACAAACAAAACCCAAAAACACAACTCATTAATTATTAGAATAAAATATTATAAATATCTTGTAATATATTTTATATTAATTTAGAACATATATATATATATATATATATATATATATATATATATATATATATATATATATATATATATATATATATATATTCAATATTCTAATATTAAATATCACGAACCGGTCAGAGTTGTAGCTTCAGTAGATATCGTTACGTCCTTCCGGAACAAAGGTATATTTTTCAGCTTTTCAACTAGAGAATCCTACATAATAAAACAACCACAACTAATTTAATTAGTTTTTATCAATCACAAATATAATGCTACTTCAAGAATTCTACAAAATTTTGACATCAGCGTCAAAGTTCGCTGCTTTAGTAGTAACCATGGGCAATTGCTGAGCAGAATAAATTTTGAAAACACCTTTTTCACATAAAATCAAGTTCAAATGGCCAGCACCGTCGATGGTGATATGTGCCTAAATTTCGAAAATGTTAAACATTTATAAGGCTAATGCTAACATGTGCCTTAAGGGCGTAAGTAATCTAATAACAAAAATATTCATTTGAAACACATTCAATTCTTTAAAACTATAAACATTGATTTATTCAAGTCAATTTTTTTTCTACTTTCCGTATCCTTAACTTAAGCCCTTAGAGAAGAAGTTAGCAAGACCTTATATATATATATATATATATATATATATATATATATATATATATATATATATATATATATATATATATATATATATATATATATATATATATATATATATATATATATATATATATATATATATATATATATATATAAAATCTAAATTACAAGGTAAGATCGTTTATAATAGATTTAGAATGGATTTGGTCTTCTATGGATCACACTATCACAAGAGCTCAGTTGCGTTGGATTACCTCTATTTTTTCTAAAAACTAAACTGCGGAGAGTTAAAATGCTCTGTAGCCAGTACCATATGAACATACATTACTTCAAAAGATCATATAATCAAGATGCTAGTATTAGTCTAGTAGTTGAACTATAAATTCATTGCTATAATGAACGATGACAATGATTTATTTGGATATCTAATGATGGGAGAAATAGAATGGAACAAAATTATCATCCTAATATTTGGAATGATGGAATGAAGAAAAGTTCAATTTCAATGTTTGACAGTAACATAAAATAGGGAAACAATAAGTGACCTCATGCCCCCCAAACCAGTAAAGAAAATAAAACGCATCATATGGAATGGATTCCGTCAAGGTCCATCACATTCCACCCTATTTTAAATACTCGGTAACTACTACCATTCCAATTCAGTCCTTTCTATTCACCTCTTCCAATCAAACTAAACATAGTAAAGCAGATAAAGTTTACCTTAAGGCGTTGGGAAAGATCCTTAAAACCTTGAACTTGTTGTGGCCACAGACGTTCTCTATCGGCACTTTCCATACCCTCAAGCTTCCCCATAACTTCCGCCCACATGATCTAGCAAGATAAACTACTCCCCACAATTCAAATCTTTCTCATCATTATTATGCAACCGTTTCATCATCCATTAAACTCCAACCATTTTTTTCATCTTAACTCTAACGCTTTCTTTTTTTCTCACGCTCTCTCTTCCGCAACCATTTTTTCTTTCTGTCTTCTTTCTCTTTCCTCTACATCTCTCACATTTCTCTCTATTTCTTTCTTCTTGATTCTCTCATTCATTTATTGTCATCACTTTATCTTCATTAATCTTTTACACCGTTAGAATTAATTTTTATTTTTCCTTTTTGTTTTCCAGGATATAGATCTATACGAAGGCATAAGCTAACCTTTTTTTTACTTGAAACAATTCGTAAGTTTTAATGTTCTTTATTTTTTAAGTGGTAGATATATACTTATATGTAACCATCTGTATATTCTTTTGAATAATATAGATTTATTTTTGCCATTTTTAAAGTTCTTGACATAATCCATATTTTTTCCATCTTTTTCACTTCTATAGATAAGAAGATGAAAAAAAGTTAAACAATATTTATTACAAAAGTGTAGGTTTTAATATTTTTATTTTATTTTTTTAGGTTATAGATATATACGGATATATTATCATTTGTATAGATCTTCTTTTACCATTTTTGTACTTTACGAAAAAAAAAACCTATATTTACTCTATTTTTTTAATATATTTTTTATTTTTTTTTAGATTGTAGATCTCTGAAGAAGATAAAAAAAATTAAATAATATCGATAATTTTTTAATATTTTTTTCAATTCTTTTGTTTTTTTATTAATTTCTCTCTCTTATGTTTCACATATTTTTAAGTTTTATAATTCCGAAAAAGTGTAACTATCTTTTTAATATTGCTAAATATTTAGATTGAGATGTTTCACAATTTGTTGTATATAATTTTTATGTTTTATTATTATGAAGTGTAATTATTATTTTTTTTAAAATTTTTCTAAACATTGAGATTGAGAGGAGAAATATTTAGAGAGAGAATATAATGAGATGTTAGATTGTGTTTTTTAAAATGAAAAAATGGATAATAATGCAAAAAGTTAATCGTAAAATTTTGTTAAAACTAAATGCAACTCTATTTAGGAAAATCACCCTTTATAGTAAATATTGCATAAAATATAAACAAAATAATTAGAATGTTTCTCTCAGTATTGTTACGTAGATGAATTTATAAGATATTAATAAGTGACAATAAATAAAATTTAATAAGTATTAAAAGATATTAAACTATAATAAAATATAAAATTTGATGATTGATTTTATTATTATTAATTGTTACAATGATGATTGTGTCTTAAAAATGATCACAAAAAATAAACTAAGATTTATTTAAAGGAATTTCAATTTAAAAATTTTTATGAAAAATTTTCAAACAAAAAATAAATAAATGCTAATTAAGTTATAAACAATCATTATTACAACTATCAAAGAGTTTTTCTCTTCTTTTGAAGTTTAAAAATAAATTTACATAAATATAGCACCGGAAAAATGTGTATTTTTTTAATAATTATTTATGTTATTAATATAGAAATTAATTAAAAAAATATTTATAAATAAAAAATACTAGACAAACATACGAATTAAAATTATATATAAATATAAATAATTCATAATTATTTTACTGATGTGTTCATTCTATTATTATTTGTGTTTAAGTTCATGTAATTGATTTAATTTATAAAGTATTTATTATTATAAAATTCACACAATTAATAAAATGAAATAAATTACACACATGAATTTATTGGTCAAACTATTAAATATTAACGAAAAAATAATGTTATTAATCAAACTATTGAATATTAACAGGAATTTGAAGTTACTGATCAAAATATTTAATATTAACAAAAATATTAAATTACTGATAAAAATATTGAATATTAAGAAGAAAAATTAAATTACTGATCAAAATATTGAATATTAATAGGAACATAAAGTTCCTAATCAAAATATTTAATAACAACGAAAATATAAAATTACTGATCAAAATATTGAATAATAACGAGAAAATAAAGTCACTGATAAAAATATTGAATAATAATAGAATAAATTTATTATTGA